CCACTTCCACGGGCGAAAGTGTGACCTTCCGCAGCTTTTTGCTCCTAGTGCTGTGCCCTGTGCACAGGTGCTTCTGGTCGGTTTCTCTCGGGTGGGGCTTCCGAATGCCCCTTCCCAGCTGACGCTGACGCCACCCTTTCCCAGGGTGCCTTCCCTCCCTTCACCGCCCCTGACCCCGACGGCTCAGGCCACCCGATATTATTGCTGAGCCCGCACACATACGTAGATCTTGTCTAACCAAGTAAATTGTAACCACCAGAAAGGAAAAGCCTCGTCTTTTTAAATTTAATTTTTCAATTACAGCTTACATTCAACATTATTTTGTATTAGTTTCGGGTGTACAGCAGAGCGGTTAGACATTCATATAATTTACAAAGCGATCTCCCCGGTAAGTCTGATCCCTGCCTGGCACCATGCCCAGTTAGTACAACATTATTGATTCTATTCCCTGTGCTGTGCTTACATCCCCGCGACTCCTGTAACCACCAGTCTGCACCTCTCGGTCCCTCCACCTGAGGCAGCTCTGCCGTCGCCTTTGTTTGCGTCCGTCACGGCCGCTGTTCCGATTTGCCTCATGCTTGTCTGACACGCGCTGCGTCCCTTCAGTTATGTAGCTGCAAATGCACAACTCAACCTTGATTTAATATCCGCCTTAGCCGGGGTGAGGAGAAGAGAATCGTAAACACACCTGTTGAGTGTGAGGTTCACCCTGCTTTTAGCAGTGTCCGAATATTCTAAACGCACGGAGACACATTCATGCAAATGCTCACACGCGAGCACACGCGCACGATCCCTCCATGAGGTGAGGAAGCAGGGAACGGACTGGCGTACTGATTCCCTGAGTTTTCTTGTTGGCACTGCCTGGCATGCGATCATTTGTTTGGTTTTTATCATTTCAACTCATTTTTGTAATAAAAGACATCGGTGTGAAATGTCATCGGCAAAGAGAGAAGGAGTTTCCCCCGTGGGGCCTTTGGGGACTGTTGCGCTGAGGTGGTGACTCCGGAATAGTGAAGACCATCGCCTCCCAACAGGCCCTCTCAGGTCGCGCGGGCCAGGCCCGCGGGCTGCCCTTCCCTGTCCTATCTGGGTGTGTTGGAATGACGGCTTTGTTCCATCTCAGGGTCATGCGATCAGTGCTTGGCTCTTTCTGTGGGGACCGTTCTTCCAGCTCACTCCTCCCCAGCCTTACCCCGAGAGCGTCTCGTCCTCGGTTTATAACCGCTACATCCCATTTGAACAAGCCTTGCTCGAGGAGGCCCGGCTGGGTGCCCAGCGGCGCCTTTGCGCGCACTGCCTGCCGTTCCCATTCCCGGTGGGTTCTCCACTTGCTCAGGGAGCGCCAAGGTCAGGCCAGGCCCTGCCCGGCGCTGGCGGAGGCGCGCGAGGGAGCCGGAAAGAGCTCTGTCGGCGTGGAGCTGGCGTTTCAGCGCCGAGAAGGAAGTGCGGTTCACTGAAGATTTGCTCTGTGCGCCCTGCTGATCATAGCTGATGCTTTAGTAACACTGGGTCGCACTGTCATTATAGTCACTTCCCAGGGGAAACGCAGGCTTAGAGAGGTTAGACCTTGTGCATCAGGTCACAACGAAGGTGAGAACCCATCCCAGAAAGGCGATCGGAGCCCACGCCTCGCCTCTCGTTCCACGTGGCCGGGATACTTCTGGGCAGGGACGGATGGACGGATGGATGGATGGATGGATGGATGGATGGATGGACTTCTCACTAGCTTTTGGAGCTCTTGTTTTCCTTCTGGACCAGTTGGACAATCCGTGACTTGGAGCGACAGGCATATCATTCAGGCGAAGTAATTACTGGGAAATTCAAAACTCTCAGGGCACTGACAGGGCCACACTGTTCTCGCATCTGAATCCTCATGTTCAGGAAGGACACAGGAGAAGGCAGACTCAACTCGATACTTACCTTCTCTGGTTTCCATCCCTGGCTTCTGTTCCTGAAAGGCCACGAGGAAAGGGTATCGCTGGAACCGTGTCCGAGGGAAGACTCAGTGGGTGAAGCGAAAGAAAGGCGTCCGGACTGTTAAGAGTCAAAGTGTGTATTTGCAGCTCTGCTCCTGCCGAACCCCTTAGAGCGCCTCGGTTCCGGCTGCTTTCTTTGGGGATGAGCCACAGACGTTGATGGGGGGCTGAGGCAAGACATTCGCCGGTTGGATGGGTTTCCTTTCTACTTGCTTTCCTTTCTTTTTTCCTGTTCTCTTTTTATTTGCCTTAGGGAGGTCGCCCCTTATATTATTCTGACAAAGGCATGCAGCAGTGGTTTTGTGGATTTAAAGCTGCCTGTGAAACAGAGCACACAAACCTGTTGGGAGGGAGGGACTTCAAAGAACTCGAGGGTTGAATTTAGACAAGACTGATGGAAGAGTGTGGGAGGGACCGTGTTCGCTATCACCTCCCTGGACCACGCTGTCCCTCCGAAGGACATGTGCCTCTGAACAGTGTGGACCAAAGTCCCTACAGTTCAAACCGAAGGCCTGACTGTCCTGTTGGGAGCTCTAGACCAGGGTAATGGGGACATTTGGGCCCCACAGCTTAAAAAAATGGAATAAGTTGCCAACATTAAATATTCAGGTTATTTCACGTAAAAGTCACGTTTTCTGCTTCCCTTAAACAATCAGAAGCCGTGGCCACTTGGGCTCCCATGTCCCCATGTGAATGCCTGAGGAGGGCTGCCTGGGGGCTGCTGTCTGGTGGTCACACTCCATCTCCTCGACACCGTAGTGGGTCTGAGCCACTGCTTCCACTCGCTTTTGTCCAGACCCTGATTGGATTTGAGACTGGCCACTGGTCCTCTGTGTAAGTGGCAAGTGGTGTGTGTATGTGTGTGTGTACTTGCGTGAGTGTGTATGTTTGTGAGTGTGTCTTCCAGATCCTCAGGTGGGGGAGGGGGGAGTCGTCGATTGTTGCTGTACTTTAAAGAAGAATACTTGACACTCCAATGGTTTTGATTTCATTTGTGTTTGAGCATAATAAGTATTTAGAGATGCAAATGTCCTTAAAGGAAGGTTGTAGATTCATTATGCTGATGGAAAGCAGACACTGGATAAAAGAGTGACTGTAAAAGAGTATAGGTCTCGCCAGCTAGCAGGTCATACTATAGACGGGGCATTTCACTACCAGGGTCAACAATAGAATAGAGTAGGAAACTCAGCACGTTCTAAGTGGGTGAGAAATCGATATACTGGCTTCTAACTTAAACTGTGTTTATCACTGTGGGTTGCGGTTCCAAGAACTGAGAGCCACGGGGTTGTCAGGTTCGAGAAACACCCATCGTTGCAGGGGTTGATGTTAAGCAATAAACTGCCGCTGCTTCTGGTAACAGGCGTCCTCATGGTTTCCGGGGCCACGGTTGGCATATAAGTAAGTAGTCGGTCATTACCGTGGTCACGGGAACCGGAGGCCAGTTCTTCCCGTGAAGCATCGACGGGGGCTCCTTCCTCCTCTCCGCCAACTCGCCTCCGCGTTGGATGGAAAAAGGAGGCACGAAAGCCCGAAGACCTTGAGAAGCTGGGTGTCAAGTCTGTACGGTGGCGCCAATGAGGGGGGAGAGCAGGGGGCGCTGAAGGGTTGGAGGACGCCTCAGGAAAGAAATGGCGCTTGAGTGCCTTAGCCCTTTGTTTTTCTCTCTTTATTGGGTTAGAATGACTTCATAATGAAAGTCACACGTCCAGCTCCCGAGGAGGTTCTTCATGTTAACTTACTGAAGGCGCCCGGCGTCTGCTTTCTCTTTTCCTGCTCGCATAGCCCGTATCAGCGAAATCCAAGCGAGGCGGGTTCTGACCGATTCCGCCCGCCGCGCGATGTGCGCTGGAAAGCGCCATATGGCCGTGGTCCCGGGCCAGCTCTGGGAAATTAGACAGGGAGGAGCCTTTCTATTTTTGTTGCGTTAATTGCATAGACTGGGCTAGATAACATAATTAACAGTGCTTTGGGTGGAAAATGTGCTTGGTTTCTATGTTGTGTTGAGCAGTTCTTCAGATGTGAGTGAAACAGGCACTCAAGCCCGGATTCAGGTTTGCGGCAAGAGATTCTGAGATGGAAGGAGTGGCATTGAGTCTCAGAATAAACAGATTCTTTAAAATAAACCAACAGAAGCAACCTCTTAGTTTACTCTTGGTGGATGTACATATCAAAATCAGAACTGTAAACATATCCTTGCACATAATTTTGCCCATGTCCTTTAAAAATATTTAGAGTAATTAAATATACTTAGTAACTGTATATGTCCTAGAGGTACACACACACTGAAATGTACTTAGCAATGAAAACACATTTATGTTCTTCTTGCCTAAGTGTGTGTGCCAGTCTCCCCTTATCGGTGGGATTCACTTCTGTTTTAGCAGCATGAGGGGGACATGCTCTTCCTCTCGGTCTTTAACATTAACCGTCAGAGCCGCAGAGCTTCCCTTGGAACGTCTCTTTCGCTGCGCACATTCATTCAGCACAGCCATGATCGTTAAAAATTCTTAGCTGCATTTGATTCATCACTTTGGGTGGAGGCTGGAGTCACCTCTGATCTGTGACTTTGGAAAGGAAAGAATCTTTAACGCACGGTCTGGGAGGGGGGTTAGGACCGAGTCTGGGAGTAGAGCATCCTTTGCTCACCTCTGAGCTGAAAGGTGTTGATTCTGACAGGCCTCTGATTCTGGACGTCAGGGAGCAGCAGTCACGCAGGTACCCTCTTTGACAGCAGGAAAGCGAAGTACAGGGATTATGCTAAGATCAAGAAATGGCTTTTTAAAAATTTTTTTTTTTTATTAACCTTCTACTTTGCTTCTTGAGAGAAAAAAAATTCTGCGCCCTGTTAGCCAGGAGTGACTGGTTCCCGGCCCATGTTAATAGTTAGAGAGGACATTTGGATCCTCTCTAACTGTTCAGCAGGTGGGCCTGAGAATCCCCGTCTCATGCAAATCGGGGGGCCTACTTTCGGGAGTGTTCTGGGCGCTCGGGGCGGGCTCTCAGAGCTCTCCGTTCTTGTTTCCACAGGATGTGTGAGACCGGCGAGGGGCTGTTTATCTTTCAGACGCGAGACGGGGAGGCCATCTACCAGAAGGTGCACTCGGCCGCCCTGGCCATCGCGGAGCAGCACGAGCGCTTGCTGCAGAGCGTGAAGAACTCCATGGTACGTCCGGGCGCCCCCGGCCTGGCGGGCACCGCTGCCAGCTGCAGCCCTGGGATCGTGGCGCTGGAGGCCACGGCCAGCGTTATGTGAGCAGGGGTTGACTCTTGTCCGCAACTATGCATTCCTTGGATTAAATGTCATCCTGGGGTGGCCCGAGGTGGCCTGTGGCTAACACAGTACCCTCCTTATCTGCGCCATGCCTCAGTTACTCTGTGTGTGCCTGAATCAGTCTGAGCTCCCGTAACCAGCACCACGGACGAGATAGCTTACAAACAGCAGGCGTTTGTTTATTTCTCCCTGGGAGGCTGGAAGTCCCAGATCCAGGAGCTCTCAGAGTCACTGTCTGGGGGAGGGCCCACTTCCNGGGTGCAGCAGGGAATGAAACGGGGCCTGGCGCCCAGCGAGGGTGCAGCAGGGAATGAAACGGGGCCTGGCGCCCAGCGAGGGTGCAGCAGGGAATGAAACGGGGCCTGGCGCCCAGCGAGGGTGCAGCAGGGAATGAAATGGGGCCTGGCGCCCAGTGCGGGTGCAGCAGGGAATGAAACAGGGCCTGGTGCCCAGTGTGGGTGCAGCAGGGAATGAAACGGGCCTCGTGCCCAGCGCAGGTGCAGAGTGAATGAAATGGCCAGGAGCCGTCACTTTGAAACGTACTCTCTAGAAGAGAGGAAGACAATAAAAATCATTTAAAAAAGTAAAATAGGTGTTAGATTGCATAAGACTCGCATTGAAAAGTAAAGTAGTGTGACAGAAAGTGCCAGAGGAGGGCGCAGCTTTAAGGGGGGTGAGCAGGGCTGGCTCCGCTGGGCCAGTGATGTGAAGGCCTGAGGACGGAGAGGGTGAGCCGGGCGGGACCTGGGGCCGAGCCGACTGGCTTACGGTGTGGATCTGATGATTCCGTCCACAACCCGCTTGTTTAAGGGGGACAGGCGAGTTGATTAAATACGTATTAAATAGGGAGCACGGAGACTTGACAAACAAACGGAAGTTGTGTGTGAATGAAGATGTCCCAAGGGCTGGACATGCTTGTTCTCACCCGGCTGGTTGCAGCAAAACCATCACACACACACACACACACACTCACATACACACACACTCTCACACACTCACACACATACACTCACACACATACACACACACACACACACACTCTCACACACACACACTCACACACATACACACACACTCACACACATACACTCACACACACACTCACACACATACACACACACACAATACACACACACTCACACAATACACACACTCACACACATACACTCACACACACAATACACACACACACACAAATACACACACACACACACATACACTCACACACACACACACAATACACACACACACAAATACACACACACACACTCACACACACATACACTCACACACACACACACCCCCTCACGCGTGCGCACACACACACACACGCTCACACACAATACACTCACACTGACACACATGTACACACTGACACCCCCCACACACTGATACCCACCCTCACACACTCNACAGGCGAGTTGATTAAATACGTATTAAATAGGGAGCACGGAGACTTGACGGAAGTTGTGTGTGAATGAAGATGTCCCCAAGGGCTGGACATGCTTGTTCTCACCCGGCTGGTTGCAGCAAAACCATCACACACACACACACACACACACACACACACATACTCACACACAATACACTCACACACACTCTCACACATACACACATACACACACTCACACACACACACCCTCACACACACACTCACACACACACTCACACATACACACACTCACACATACACACACACACACACACCCTCACGCACACACACTCACACACCACTCACACACACACACCCTCACACACACACTCACACACACCCTCACACACACACTCACACACACACACACCCTCACGCGCGCACACACACACGCTCACACAATACACACACACAGTACACTCACACTGACACACACGTACACACTGACACCCCACACACACTGATACCCACACTCACACACACAAACTCACACACACTCTGATACCCCCCCACACACACACCCCAACTGCCACCTTGCCGCCAGCCAGCATCACCCAGGCAGCGATGCCCGTGGCTGGGACAGACAGGGGCCACAGGAGCAGGCCGAACTCTCTGCCCCGACCTGAGTTCGCTCTGCGGAGGAGCCACAGCTCCCCAGCCCCGGAGCTGCCTTTGTCCGAGCGCCTTTATCATCTAAGCATCAGTCATGTTCTCGCTCATCCCCTTGCTTCCAGCTGGTCAGAGGAGCAGTTAAGAAAGGAAAGGGGTAGAGACCGGAGCTGCTGCTAAACATCCCACAGTGCCCAGGACGGCCCCGCAGCGAGCGACCCGGCCGTGTCAGTGTCGCTGACGTTACCCCCGCGGCGTAGAGAAGCCCTGTTCTGCGGGATGAGCTCCTAGCAGATCCCTCCCAGGTGTTTCTTCGAGCTGGGGCCACTGGATCCCATGTGGTTAAGCCTCATATTTATTTCACGTCTCTGTGTGCTTTCCTGCCGTAGGGAATGGGCATCGCCATAGCCACTGGCGGCGCAGGGGCCGCCCTGCATTTGTCCCCCCACTTCCACGGGCGAAAGTGTGACCTTCCGCAGCTTTTTGCTCCTAGTGCTGTGCCCTGTGCACAGGTGCTTCTGGTCGGTTTCTCTCGGGTGGGGCTTCCGAATGCCCCTTCCCAGCTGACGCTGACGCCACCCTTTCCCAGGGTGCCTTCCCTCCCTTCACCGCCCCTGACCCCGACGGCTCAGGCCACCCGATATTATTGCTGAGCCCGCACACATACGTAGATCTTGTCTAACCAAGTAAATTGTAACCACCAGAAAGGAAAAGCCTCGTCTTTTTAAATTTAATTTTTCAATTACAGCTTACATTCAACATTATTTTGTATTAGTTTCGGGTGTACAGCAGAGCGGTTAGACATTCATATAATTTACAAAGCGATCTCCCCGGTAAGTCTGATCCCTGCCTGGCACCATGCCCAGTTAGTACAACATTATTGATTCTATTCCCTGTGCTGTGCTTACATCCCCGCGACTCCTGTAACCACCAGTCTGCACCTCTCGGTCCCTCCACCTGAGGCAGCTCTGCCGTCGCCTTTGTTTGCGTCCGTCACGGCCGCTGTTCCGATTTGCCTCATGCTTGTCTGACACGCGCTGCGTCCCTTCAGTTATGTAGCTGCAAATGCACAACTCAACCTTGATTTAATATCCGCCTTAGCCGGGGTGAGGAGAAGAGAATCGTAAACACACCTGTTGAGTGTGAGGTTCACCCTGCTTTTAGCAGTGTCCGAATATTCTAAACGCACGGAGACACATTCATGCAAATGCTCACACGCGAGCACACGCGCACGATCCCTCCATGAGGTGAGGAAGCAGGGAACGGACTGGCGTACTGATTCCCTGAGTTTTCTTGTTGGCACTGCCTGGCATGCGATCATTTGTTTGGTTTTTATCATTTCAACTCATTTTTGTAATAAAAGACATCGGTGTGAAATGTCATCGGCAAAGAGAGAAGGAGTTTCCCCCGTGGGGCCTTTGGGGACTGTTGCGCTGAGGTGGTGACTCCGGAATAGTGAAGACCATCGCCTCCCAACAGGCCCTCTCAGGTCGCGCGGGCCAGGCCCGCGGGCTGCCCTTCCCTGTCCTATCTGGGTGTGTTGGAATGACGGCTTTGTTCCATCTCAGGGTCATGCGATCAGTGCTTGGCTCTTTCTGTGGGGACCGTTCTTCCAGCTCACTCCTCCCCAGCCTTACCCCGAGGGTGTCTCGTCCTCGGTTTATAACCGTTACATCCCGTTTGAACAAGCCTTGCTCGAGGAGGCCCGGCCGGGTGCCCAGCGGCGCCTTTGCGCGCACTGCCTGCCTTTCCCATTCCCGGTGGGTTCTCCACTTGCTCAGGGAGCGCCAAGGTCAGGCCAGGCCCTGCCCGGCGCTGGCGGAGGCGCGCGAGGGAGCCGGAAAGAGCTCTGTCGGCGTGGAGCTGGCGTTTCAGCGCCGAGAAGGAAGTGCGGTTCACTGAAGATTTGCTCTGTGCGCCCTGCTGATCATAGCTGATGCTTTAGTAACACTGGGTCGCACTGTCATTATAGTCACTTCCCAGGGGAAACGCAGGCTTAGAGAGGTTAGACCTTGTGCATCAGGTCACAACGAAGGTGAGAACCCATCCCAGAAAGGCGATCGGAGCCCACGCCTCGCCTCTCGTTCCACGTGGCCGGGATACTTCTGGGCAGGGACGGATGGACGGATGGATGGATGGATGGATGGATGGATGGATGGACTTCTCACTAGCTTTTGGAGCTCTTGTTTTCCTTCTGGACCAGTTGGACAATCCGTGACTTGGAGCGACAGGCATATCATTCAGGCGAAGTAATTACTGGGAAATTCAAAACTCTCAGGGCACTGACAGGGCCACACTGTTCTCGCATCTGAATCCTCATGTTCAGGAAGGACACAGGAGAAGGCAGACTCAACTCGATACTTACCTTCTCTGGTTTCCATCCCTGGCTTCTGTTCCTGAAAGGCCACGAGGAAAGGGTATCGCTGGAACCGTGTCCGAGGGAAGACTCAGTGGGTGAAGCGAAAGAAAGGCGTCCGGACTGTTAAGAGTCAAAGTGTGTATTTGCAGCTCTGCTCCTGCCGAACCCCTTAGAGCGCCTCGGTTCCGGCTGCTTTCTTTGGGGATGAGCCACAGACGTTGATGGGGGGCTGAGGCAAGACATTCGCCGGTTGGATGGGTTTCCTTTCTACTTGCTTTCCTTTCTTTTTTCCTGTTCTCTTTTTATTTGCCTTAGGGAGGTCGCCCCTTACATTATTCTGACAAAGGCATGCAGCAGTGGTTTTGTGGATTTAAAGCTGCCTGTGAAACAGAGCACACAAACCTGTTGGGAGGGAGGGACTTCAAAGAACTCGAGGGTTGAATTTAGACAAGACTGATGGAAGAGTGTGGGAGGGACCGTGTTCGCTATCACCTCCCTGGACCACGCTGTCCCTCCGAAGGACATGTGCCTCTGAACAGTGTGGACCAAAGTCCCTACAGTTCAAACCGAAGGCCTGACTGTCCTGTTGGGAGCTCTAGACCAGGGTAATGGGGACATTTGGGCCCCACAGCTTAAAAAAATGGAATAAGTTGCCAACATTAAATATTCAGGTTATTTCACGTAAAAGTCACGTTTTCTGCTTCCCTTAAACAATCAGAAGCCGTGGCCACTTGGGCTCCCATGTCCCCATGTGAATGCCTGAGGAGGGCTGCCTGGGGGCTGCTGTCTGGTGGTCACACTCCATCTCCTCGACACCGTAGTGGGTCTGAGCCACTGCTTCCACTCGCTTTTGTCCAGACCCTGATTGGATTTGAGACTGGCCACTGGTCCTCTGTGTAAGTGGCAAGTGGTGTGTGTATGTGTGTGTGTACTTGCGTGAGTGTGTATGTTTGTGAGTGTGTCTTCCAGATCCTCAGGTGGGGGAGGGGGGAGTCGTCGATTGTTGCTGTACTTTAAAGAAGAATACTTGACACTCCAATGGTTTTGATTTCATTTGTGTTTGAGCATAATAAGTATTTAGAGATGCAAATGTCCTTAAAGGAAGGTTGTAGATTCATTATGCTGATGGAAAGCAGACACTGGATAAAAGAGTGACTGTAAAAGAGTATAGGTCTCGCCAGCTAGCAGGTCATACTATAGACGGGGCATTTCACTACCAGGGTCAACAATAGAATAGAGTAGGAAACTCAGCACGTTCTAAGTGGGTGAGAAATCGATATACTGGCTTCTAACTTAAACTGTGTTTATCACTGTGGGTTGCGGTTCCAAGAACTGAGAGCCACGGGGTTGTCAGGTTCGAGAAACACCCATCGTTGCAGGGGTTGATGTTAAGCAATAAACTGCCGCTGCTTCTGGTAACAGGCGTCCTCATGGTTTCCGGGGCCACGGTTGGCATATAAGTAAGTAGTCGGTCATTACCGTGGTCACGGGAACCGGAGGCCAGTTCTTCCCGTGAAGCATCGACGGGGGCTCCTTCCTCCTCTCCGCCAACTCGCCTCCGCGTTGGATGGAAAAAGGAGGCACGAAAGCCCGAAGACCTTGAGAAGCTGGGTGTCAAGTCTGTACGGTGGCGCCAATGAGGGGGGAGAGCAGGGGGCGCTGAAGGGTTGGAGGACGCCTCAGGAAAGAAATGGCGCTTGAGTGCCTTAGCCCTTTGTTTTTCTCTCTTTATTGGGTTAGAATGACTTCATAATGAAAGTCACACGTCCAGCTCCCGAGGAGGTTCTTCATGTTAACTTACTGAAGGCGCCCGGCGTCTGCTTTCTCTTTTCCTGCTCGCATAGCCCGTATCAGCGAAATCCAAGCGAGGCGGGTTCTGACCGATTCCGCCCGCCGCGCGATGTGCGCTGGAAAGCGCCATATGGCCGTGGTCCCGGGCCAGCTCTGGGAAATTAGACAGGGAGGAGCCTTTCTATTTTTGTTGCGTTAATTGCATAGACTGGGCTAGATAACATAATTAACAGTGCTTTGGGTGGAAAATGTGCTTGGTTTCTATGTTGTGTTGAGCAGTTCTTCAGATGTGAGTGAAACAGGCACTCAAGCCCGGATTCAGGTTTGCGGCAAGAGATTCTGAGATGGAAGGAGTGGCATTGAGTCTCAGAATAAACAGATTCTTTAAAATAAACCAACAGAAGCAACCTCTTAGTTTACTCTTGGTGGATGTACATATCAAAATCAGAACTGTAAACATATCCTTGCACATAATTTTGCCCATGTCCTTTAAAAATATTTAGAGTAATTAAATATACTTAGTAACTGTATATGTCCTAGAGGTACACACACACTGAAATGTACTTAGCAATGAAAACACATTTATGTTCTTCTTGCCTAAGTGTGTGTGCCAGTCTCCCCTTATCGGTGGGATTCACTTCTGTTTTAGCAGCATGAGGGGGACATGCTCTTCCTCTCGGTCTTTAACATTAACCGTCAGAGCCGCAGAGCTTCCCTTGGAACGTCTCTTTCGCTGCGCACATTCATTCAGCACAGCCATGATCGTTAAAAATTCTTAGCTGCATTTGATTCATCACTTTGGGTGGAGGCTGGAGTCACCTCTGATCTGTGACTTTGGAAAGGAAAGAATCTTTAACGCACGGTCTGGGAGGGGGGTTAGGACCGAGTCTGGGAGTAGAGCATCCTTTGCTCACCTCTGAGCTGAAAGGTGTTGATTCTGACAGGCCTCTGATTCTGGACGTCAGGGAGCAGCAGTCACGCAGGTACCCTCTTTGACAGCAGGAAAGCGAAGTACAGGGATTATGCTAAGATCAAGAAATGGCTTTTTAAAAATTTTTTTTTTTTATTAACCTTCTACTTTGCTTCTTGAGAGAAAAAAAATTCTGCGCCCTGTTAGCCAGGAGTGACTGGTTCCCGGCCCATGTTAATAGTTAGAGAGGACATTTGGATCCTCTCTAACTGTTCAGCAGGTGGGCCTGAGAATCCCCGTCTCATGCAAATCGGGGGGCCTACTTTCGGGAGTGTTCTGGGCGCTCGGGGCGGGCTCTCAGAGCTCTCCGTTCTTGTTTCCACAGGATGTGTGAGACCGGCGAGGGGCTGTTTATCTTTCAGACGCGAGACGGGGAGGCCATCTACCAGAAGGTGCACTCGGCCGCCCTGGCCATCGCGGAGCAGCACGAGCGCTTGCTGCAGAGCGTGAAGAACTCCATGGTACGTCCGGGCGCCCCCGGCCTGGCGGGCACCGCTGCCAGCTGCAGCCCTGGGATCGTGGCGCTGGAGGCCACGGCCAGCGTTATGTGAGCAGGGGTTGACTCTTGTCCGCAACTATGCATTCCTTGGATTAAATGTCATCCTGGGGTGGCCCGAGGTGGCCTGTGGCTAACACAGTACCCTCCTTATCTGCGCCATGCCTCAGTTACTCTGTGTGTGCCTGAATCAGTCTGAGCTCCCGTAACCAGCACCACGGACGAGATAGCTTACAAACAGCAGGCGTTTGTTTATTTCTCCCTGGGAGGCTGGAAGTCCCAGATCCAGGAGCTCTCAGAGTCACTGTCTGGGGGAGGGCCCACTTCCTGGCTCCTAGCTGGCTGCCTTTTCTCTCTCTCACATGACGGAGGGATGAGGGATCCCTTTGGAGTCTCTTTATAAGGGCTCTGCCCTCAGAGCCTAATCACATCCCAATGGCCTCATCTTCTAATGCCATCCACTTTGAGGTTAAGATTTCAATGTATGAATTTAGGGGGGGTGGATATGGTTATTGAGTCCGTTGTAGCAAGTATGTACATTAAAGTCAATTTGGGTGTGTATGTAGACACAGCTTTTGGGTATCTACCTATAGATACCTATGTATAGCTGTACCAGATGTAATTTCTGATGTCAACGGGACAGGGAAAACATATAAGTGAGGGAAGAGGGCTGAGAGGAAACTGGAATGAAATCTCAAAAGCACAAGATCTGATAGCTGCTGACATGAGACTGTGGGCTCCATGTAAGAGATCTCTTGATTTTTTTTTTCCAGAGAAGCCAAGGATTTGAGTCTGTATATACTATCTCCCAGTCCGTAACTGTTGGAAATGCATTCTAGTTAAAACCAGCAACAAAACTGTCACGCTTTGTGGGCCAAAGAAAACTTGTCCATAGACTCTATCTTGCCCATAGACATGCATTTGCCGTCTCTGGTTGGCAAATCTTCATAGTCTTCCATGTATAAAGGCACCACAAACACAAATGCACAGGAGCATCCACACACGCACCCTCGAAACACTACCCGGTTCGTTGCATTGTGCTAGGAACTGTGAATTGTACAGAGAACTATGATTCTTGTTTCTTCTTCAAGAAGAATAAGTTCACGAGACCTTAACTGAATGCAGAAGAGCTAAGCAATGCGAATCATGCATCATGGCTGCAAACTCATGCAGAGCTGCCCATCTGGAAGGGAATCTGCAAACCCTGAGGAACGGTGTCAGCATGCTAAGATGAGGGTAGTTTGAAAATCGGTGCTATAAACGTGGGCTACTTGGATTTAAAGAACGGGAAAAGCATGCCGGTAATGTGATCTGTCCCAGAGCAGCCCTGGATTAGTCCCAAATGACCTGTGCACGCATTGCATTGCTCTGGCATGTCAGAGTAGGAAATCAGCAAAACTTTCTGCGTAAAGGGCCAGAGAGTAAATGCAGTAGGTTTTGTGAACTAAGATGGTCTCTATTGCAACTCCTTAGGTAAAGCACCCATAGGTAAAAAGTCATCAAAGGGGTGTGGCTGTGTTCCCAAAAAACTTTAATTGAAATTTCATGTAATTTCCACATATAAAACATTTTCCCCCCAATCATTAAAAAAATATTCTTTTTGAACTAATGTAAACTCGATATCCATTTCCCCATATGCTCACCAATTCTGGATGTTGCAATAGAGATAGATAAATGGATGGATGGATGGACAGATAGCTGGCTGGCTGGTGGATGGATGGATAGATATTAGCTAGCTGTAAAGTTGAATTCAAGTCAGTTCGAATTTACAGGGCAACATGTAATTGCATCAAAGCTGTATGGCTATCCATTAGATGCCTTCAAACATCTGAGGAGGTTTTTCCAAGATTACCTTGTTTGTGAAGCCATCAATTAGCATAAATTGTTGTGTGCTTGGAAGGCAAGTCCTGCATGCACATGTTTTTCCATTTACAACCGTCTCATTACTTCCACTAAAAATTAATCAGGATTATGAGTAATTCATTCAGATCATCCGTTTGCAAATTTAACTGGAAAGTAATGTTGTTTGCCCTCAATTTGCTGTGTGCCAAACGAGTTCTGTGCATGTGAACGTGGTTTTAAAGCAACAACATTCTGTTTTAGATGGAAATGAGTAAGCTTCAAAATGAGATCTGAATCTCAAGGAAGTTAAACTGGGGGTTGATTGTGAAACGTTTAAAAGGAACGAACATGAATCAGTTTCTGATGGAGGAGAAAAGAGGTGCTGTGCTAAAATGGAGCAAACCATGTCAGCATGACTGGCTACCCTCCTAGGGTTACGGTTTTGAGTTTTCTGGTCATTGGAAATGGATCCACACAGACCTGGCTGTATTTTCAACTAGGAATTGCCTTTAGCCGCTGTAGTCTTGCCTCCCTGAGATAGCCAGGGTCATAAATGGCAACAGTCAGATATGGCCAGTAACATCTGCCTTTTAGGTAGTCCTTCCAGCTCCTCCCACGCTCGGCTGTCCAGCAGCTGGTCCTTCTCTGGGCATTTATGCTCATGCTGTGGCTAGTTGATGTCTAGCCTATGCTGCTACATGTATTCATTTTCTGTTGCTGCGTAACGAAGTCCAACAAACTGTGCACCATAAAACACGCCCATGTATTACCTTCTAGTTGCTGTGGGTCAGAGTTTCGGCATGGTTTGCTGGGCTCCCGGTTTCAGTTTCTCACAAGGCTGTGGTGCAGGTGTCGGCTGGGGCTCCAGTTTCATCTGAAGGTTGGACTGGGGATTAGATAGCATTTCCAAGCTATCATGGTTATTGGCAGAATTTAACTCCTTGTGGCTGTAGGATTGAGGGCTTCCGTTTCTTGTTGACTGTCGGGTGGAGGCCATCCTTAGCTCCCCGGGCCATCCTCAGCTCCTTGCCACATGGAGCAACACACCCACTTACTTCATCAAAGCCAGTGAGAGAAAGTCTCCTTGCTGGGGCGGGGGGCAGTCACAGTCCTGTGCATCATAATCATGGAAATGATATCCCATCATCCTCCCGTAGTCTGTTAATGAAAATCAAGTCACAAGTCCTTACACAGTCAGAGAAGGGGACCACAGAGGGCGTGGACACCTGGACGAGAAGATCATGGGGCCACCTTGCTGCCTGTCCCACACCATGCCGACTTCTGGGACCATGTTTATTTAGTGCTTTGATTTTTACCTTTTGATACTTTCTCTACTTTATGGTGTTTTTCAAATAATAGCATTTATTTATTGAACATCTGCTGCATGCCAAGCTCCTTAGTAACAACAGCCACTGTGATTTATTGAGCCTTCTGCTATATGCAGACACTCTCTTGCTTTTCCCCTGATCACCACAGTATCTCAGCAAGGTCGATTCATTCACTCACCCTCATTCTCTCAGGAGAATACTACTCACGACTCTTGACCTGGAGGGAATCACTGTCCCCGTCACACAGGTGAGGAAAACTGATGCTCAGAGTGGCGGAGTCACTTACCTGCAGCCCTAGAGCTCATTACTGTTGCAGCCAGGAATGCAGGATCCTTGCATCTGGTTCCTGAACCTCTCCTGTGGCCACAATGCCTCGCCCCCTTGAAGACTGTGAAAGCTCTTATTTCCCTCTTATATCCCCCGTGAGAACTGTTTCGGTGTTTTCACATTACCCTGAAACACTTTCAGAAATATCAACTTAGAGTACATCTAAAAAAAAAAATAAAAAAGCACTGTTCTAGGAAATCCCATTTCTTTTGGTAGTTTTGGCACCAGAAAGCCATCTTATAATTCTCCCCTACCTTCTCGCTTTTTAAACCCAGTGTATTATTAATACTCGCTCTGAAGAGGGTGCTAGGTGAGGGTGGGGTGGGCCTGGACTAGGGGAGGCCTCCCTGTTGAATGAGATGGATCAGCTGCCAGCTGCCTTGCTGCGGGAGCTGCTCGGAGACTGTGGGCACAGCTCCGGGCTCCCCTGAGCAGCCGCTATTTTTGCCACCTTGGAGATCAGTGTCTATGACAGAGTCTAATTTTGGAGCAAGGAGTGGTGGTGTGTGGGATGGTCCTCATTCCACGACGGGGCCTGTCATTTATAGAATTTTCTTAAGGCGAGAGCGACATGGTGGAGGGTGATGGAAATTTAGCAGGCTCTCCTGGCTGCGGGAGTTGCTGGGGTGGTGACACGTTGGCCCCACGGTGACGCCTGTCTCCCTGTACTCTGACAGCACACAGGTCTGTGAGTGAAATATGAACAGTTTGTCACATTTTCACTTGGTTACCTCTTTTTTGTTGGTTGGTTTAATTGGCAGATTTTCTTCCACACTTGGTTTTGCAAATAAAATTTGCTAATGAATTTGTAGACTTCAAGTGGAATTCTTTCACAGTTCTGGAAGCCAAGGTAATTTGTAGTCAAACTCATTTAAAAAGCAATAGGCTACACATTTTAAGAAAAATATAGAGAGGTCATCCGAGAAATCACAGCATCCATTGCATTACTATTCAGACATTGAAATAGACCCCTGCATGCTGGGGTTTTATGTTATATCCCCCCCCAAAAAACCCCTACAATGTTGAAACCTTTCCTTCTGTTTGTGGGCTCTGGTTAATTGGGATTTTTTTTCAAGTGTATTGTTTAAAGCAGTTATCCGCCTTTTCCTTTTCCTGAATTAAGCCCTTTTTATATCCTGGTATATTAATTATCATTCAAAACCCTTTTATCAAACCCTGTCTACTACTTACCAAGCAATGCGGTAGGTCTTATGGAGAACACAAAATAAAGCACAAAACACCTTTTGCATCTTTAAAAGGACCTTAAAATTTAGATAAGGAGCCATGATTTATGCTCCTCAAATCACACAACAGTCTCGCCCTGTAAATTCAATTTGCTGCTATCTCTTTAGAGGGCAACTTGTCCTTACTTATCAACATTAAGTTGATATGTCTCTTTAGCCAGCAGGAGCCCTTTAGGATTTAAAGATGCTCCAGCAGAGGCAGAGGCGACGTGGACCGTGTTCAC